CTACGTCCTGATAGCCACGAAATACCCACAGTTTTTTGCGTTGTTAAAAGTGGTAGCACATATGCTGGCCTTCGGCTACTGCTCCCCTCATCAAGGTGAAGGTGGCGGCACTTGCAGCGGGGGAAGTACACTTACACTGCTTATTTTTCCTTTAATTTTGAAATAGACATTAATTTCGCAGAAGATTCGAGTTACAGATTAAGCGCAATTGGCCGAAATACAAAAAAGGATTGGAAAACAAGGCAACACCGGTTGTCACACAGATGAACGAAGAGACGCTGGCTGGCTACTTCGATGCGCTTGGTATCACTCACTCAATCCGTGCTCCCAGTCCTGGTGTTCGAAAAGAAGACCTGATATACAAGAATATCACGGAAGAAGTAAGTGTTTTTTGCGAATTTCATTCTTCTTTATTTACAGTTCCGACTTGTGGGATGAATGGATCAAATGGATTTTCGTGAGACCATGAAAAGAGGAAATGAAGTAGATTGTAAAACGCATATGTGTATTATACAGAGTTAAGAAGATGCAAGGAGGACATGTAGGGGAGCTAAATGTGAAAGTGGCTGTCTGTGTTTCATCCCTAAGCTGCAAACACTGACAGTATATGGTGTGGATTGGGGTGGGAATCATCAGTACAGCCCCACAGTTATTACTTGCCTGACAGACAGTTTGTTCTTATGAAAGGAGAAAATACGGTTTAATTTTAATACAGTTTTCGGATAGGCTGAAAGATAATTTATGATTTTGTTAAAAATCGCGTTACTGTTGTCCTGTAACGATTGTTGCTGTTGGCCAATTCGACTTCATTTGCGAGCATAGTGATTTAATTCAGATCATAACCTTTTCGTATGAAATGCTTTGTTTATACAAAGATTTTTTAAAACTAAAAGTCACTGTAATATTCTATGAAAATACGTTTAGACGTTGGAAGTGCTGGACGATTGTTCGATGGTATCACGCTGGGAATGTCATCGTATTGCCACCACATCGGCAGCCGCATTGGCGGATGATATTTTGGCGAAAAACCTTATTTCGGAATGTTGCGCCGGCATTCCAGCCTCTCCCGATGCATTGTCGAAACTGATGGCAGATGATTCTGCGCTTCCTCGTTTTGTAAAAGTCTATTTTCGTCATATTTTCCACTTTCATAAGCTCACATCTCACTTAATTAGGAATGATATCACTGTATGTGGCCACAAAAAAACAGCAGCAGAACTAATACATTATTCTAAGCAGCTCTGATATAGCCGATACATTTCTGCCACTGCTGAATACAGCTTCTGGGATTTTTTTCGGAAAAAGGATCAAGATCGCCATCAGATGACGCAGCTGGAAAAACTGCCATGTGCATAGTTGGAGAAAGAAGCTGTGAATTTGAACTGATCCAAATAATTATGCATTTTTAGCATAGCCTAGTTTTGCTTATGGCAATTAATTATCCACAGTAGTTCCGAAATTGCGCACGAAAAGAGATACAGCGAGGTTTTTTTTTTGGATTGAAAAGCGTCTAATTCATGCAAAAACTGGTAATACCAGAATTCAGGCATTGGGGCACAATATCTGATATGCGAGCGGGGAGGGGGGGGGGGGGAAAAAAAGGGCCAA